AACATCTTGTTATATACATTTTTTATATTTGTTTAATTTAATTTTCTTTAGTTTTCTTTCAATTTTTGTACTTATTTTTACTTATTTTTACTACATATTTCTTTAAATAAAATAGTAGTAAAATTATATTTATAAGCATCATGAATTAGAAGAGGAGCAAGAGTAAATTTATAATGTAATAAAAAAACAATAATTCTTATGCATTTAAATAAACATATAAGATAAAATAAACATATACTTGAAAATATAATAAACTGCGCAATAATTTTTTATACGTCTAAAAAGATAATAAAAAATATATACTTAAATAAAATAAATATATAATTAAATACATAATAAATTCAATTGTTTCATGCCGCTTCATCTTTTATTATAAGATAACTATCTTTTCAAATCTTAAATAATAATAAAGATTATGTAATATATTATTATAAAACTCTTCTGATTTCTTTACAAACACATATTTTCTTTAATTTGAGTAGATATTTTTCGAGAAATTATATCTAGAAATCTTACATATAAAAAAAAATGTTTAAATAAAAAAGTTAAAAATTCAGAATTTAGTAAACAATTTATTTATAAATTTTTATAAATTTTATAAATTTTATAAATTTTTATAGTAAATTCTTATTTGTTTTAACAAATATTCAAAATGTTTTCTGTTGTTTGCTTTTGAAAAAATTTAATAGAGTTTAAGATGTTACCCTGCCAAAAGGCCGGATTAAAGCGGCACGATTGAATTCATCATATTTATATATCTCACTCAAAACAAAATTGATCTTATTTTATGGACAATATTCACAATGTATCTTTTTTTAAATATAGAATAAAGGACAGACTGTAACTTACTCTTACCGGATAGTTTCGTGGAGTATCCAGTGAGATAACGATGTTACTTGATCATTTAAACGAAATCCTTTTTTTCTTAATATTAATTGTTCCAGAATTAATAGTAGAAAAAACGGCATCCATATCTATAAATATCACAGATTGTATACGCAGAAACTTAAACATTACGCATAGTTTCGTGTATTAGTACGCTCGAATGAGGTCTCGACAAGAATAGCGCTCACATATGACTTGTTAACGATTCATGTAGCCTGCCGCGTTTGTAACAAGTAACAAGCCAGCTGCGCATTCAAATTACCAGACTTCTTCAATGCATTTAACATCGTTTATGCTACTTTAGCATAAATCGTATCTAGTACATTTTTCTAAGAGGAATTTTGTAGATTTTAGCCGAATAAAATTGGCAGAATAGAACTAACTAAAGCTTAAACAATTCATATTAGAAGAGAGGAAGCATTTACAATTTCTCATTTAAATTATTATTATTATTATCATTACATAAAAATTAACATAATAACATAATAATTACACATATTTTAAGGAAAAGTATTTATAATTAAAATTATTTTTAAAAATGTTTCTTTACTTACATCAATGTAAATTAACTTTACATAAACTTTACTGTTTACTTGTAAACGTTTACTAAACCAATCTTTTATTTTATGATTGTAGATTTCAAGAATTGTAGATTTCTCTAAATTTTTTCAAATCAATGCTAAGAATTATAAGTTTATAAAATTTTATTAACATTTGTCTTTCACATTTTATAGTTCTTTTAATTTAAAAAATATAATATATAATATATTCTTTAATAAAACATGATTAAAGACATTTCAAATACTTAAAAATATCATTTTATCGAATATCTTAATATCTTTTAGGAAACCACGATATTGAGATTAAATTATCTTATCTTTATTAATTGATCAATGATTAAAGCATTTGTTTTATCGTTATTCAAACTGTGAAATTATACAACATAAAAACAAGAATGTATTTGAATCCTAAAAAAAAAATCTAAAAAAAAATCTTCTAAAGCTAAAAAGACTTGTATTCTTATTTGATCTCATGATGACGATGTTACCTGTTGTTGATAGTCCGGTACCTCGTGTAGAAACTCGAAGGTTGTCTCCTTTGGACCGACAAGGTACCAAAGTTTTCCAAAGTGTTTTAAAAAATAATCAACAACTTCAACAAGTGAATTTAATATTATGTTCATTTTGCACACTGGAAAATATGCGCAAATCACCAAATCTCCAAAATATCTTGTAAATTTAGCAGCATTCCAGGTGTAGCGGCAAACGTCGTAGACGATATACAATATCGGATTAATCGCGCGCGTGCGTGCGCATGTGTTTATATAAGTTCGAGCTGCATAGGCACGTGACACACAGATCGTATATCTTAAGAAGGCGGTAGATGTACACAAATTTGCAAATTTAAAATCGTTTATCGATACACATTAGTAAAAAGATTACAGGCTGCACGTTCAAACTTATTATTCAATCCAGTATTTCAGTTCATTGATGTAAAAAATACGCATCTGATAAAAAGCAAAAGATGGTACTTCCATTAACGTCACATAAATCACTATTTCAAAGATATATTATTTCTTCAGGTATAAGAAAAAAAATTACCAAATACTGATATCTATTTATTTCATTAGTAAAAAAAACTAGTAAACTAGTAAAAACTAGTAAAAAATTAAATTATTATAACAAAAAAATATCTTTTACAAATATAGAGCATTTAAAATTTTGAGTTTTTAATAAACTTTTAAAGACTTTTAAAAAAATATAAAAAGAAGTTGTTTTTTTATTTTGCTTTTAGATGTTTATTCACAAAATTTATTCACAGAATTACAATACGAGAAATTATTCCGTATATAAAAAATTAACAATAAGATAAAAAATATTAGTATAATCAAAATATTAGTATAATCAATTTATACGGAAAAGAAATTTCATAGAAAACTTACTTTCTTAAACAAACATTTAATGTATCAATTAGGCAACATATTAATTTGTTTGAATTAGCACATCAATTGCTGCACTGCTCACACTGACAGAATATTGACATATATGTATGTAATTAAAGACATCGTTACCAATAATGATAGCTAGAGTAAAGAAACCTTCAAATGAAAATGCACAGTCGCACTAAGAAATCGTCTTCGTGTATACATATCTAAATCAAATGTTGCAGAACACGTATTTTACCAAATCTACGACACGCAGACATATGAGAGATTTGCGATCAAATATATGGAATAATCATGCAACAATTGCACAATCAACGTATTCCCCCTCCACGTGGCAGTTAGTGATAAGAGATTTTACAGAATGTTTGTTTGTACGCTTAAATCATTCCAGACACGATTCTGCCTGGAATTATTTTATAAAAAAAGTAAAAATTCGAAGTGATTGATTAATTCTTGATACTCAAAAGTAAAAATTCGAACAATTGAAACTTAACTTAAGATTTAAAGTGTAAAGATTGTTCAATTATTAAACAAAATTTTAAAAATAGTTTTAAATAACTGAATATATTTAACACATCATAAGTAACAAATAATCACATTCTTAAATTTTCAGTAAGACTTAGCCAATTGTGAGGAAAATATCTTAAAAATGAAAATAGTCTTGATTCCAATTTATTCAAGCTGATCATGCAATTCTTAGCATGAACTTTAATGTGTAAACGTGCGAAACATAAAATGTTATCTAAGTGACAGTTATGTTATCTAAGTATTGTGGCAGTGACATCATTACTTCATAATAACAGAATCGAATCATAAGTTTTCAGAACCTAAAACTTAATAATCTGTTAGTCAGAAATTTATGAATAATTCTATAATGTAAAAATTTACAGCTAAGTTATAAATTAATCTTATCTATCTTAAAAGAGCTTTCGTTTAAATACTAATTTAAAAAATGGAATATATATCAAAAATATACATGTATATACATGTGTATGTATACATATATACATACACATATATAATTCTAAATAATATATATATATATTCTAAATAATATAATGAGGTACAAATATAATAAAAAGTTTTACTATACAATATTTACAATATTTGTCTATATTGCTATTTATAAATATTTATATATATAAAAAGTGATTAGTCACTTATTGCTCATCATAATTATTTTAATATTTCTGTAATATTTAATATTAAAAGAAAATACGCATACACTAAAAAACAATGCTTATAGAATATAGCATATATTAAAAAGCTTTATTTTAAATAATCTGAATAAATGAAAAAATTAAGTAACATGCATAATAGAAAAATACTAATTGATGTTAAAGAACTTTTATAATAGTACAAACAGTATAAAAAAAACACAAAAATTATGAGTTTTAAAATATGTTTTTAAACACAAATCTATCAAGACAGTCACATGGTCTATGGTGCGTATATACGCATGCGTACAGAAGGAATAGGAAGCATATATGAGTCGGTAAATTCAACTTTGAAATCAATTGGGATCACTGGTATAAGCGTGTGAAAATTGCAAATTAAATTTGTATTTATAATTATACATATATTTAATATTTAAATATTAATAATTGGAGAAGTAAAAATTACAGGTAAGAGAATTAAAACTTATATTGTAAAGATAACATATGTAAGTCTTATATTTATAAACACATTTATACTTAAAATTTATGTCATGAAGAAATAATATAATAAAATTCTATATAATAATTATTATTTTAACAAACTCTATTTTTTATAAGAAAATAAAAAATATAGTTATTTATATGCTATAATCTTTTATCTTATATTTTTAATTATATTCTATATTTGAGATCTTATATTGTTTTTACAATAACTCTTTTAGATTATTTAAATTAATTACAAAAGTTTTCTCATCATAAAAATATTGTAAAGATTATTAATATTGTAAAGATTAGGATACAAAGAGATAGATTACAAATATAACAAAATTTTTTATATAGATATGATATAATCATATCATGTTCTATATAGATATGATATAATCATGTCCACCACACGATCTAGAAGAGAATATAAGTAAGTTTTAATATTTATTATGAGCCATTTTTTAATTTTTAAATAATTTTATATTCTAATTTTATAAAAAAATAATCTAGTTTAGTATATATATATATATATATATATATATATATATATAATAACTAGTG